GTTTGTATTTAAAACATTGAGCAAATTAATTGGTGATTTTCTGCGTTGGTACAAGCACAATGAACAATAAACCCGTCATCGATATCAATAACGTTGCCTTAAAGTAAAAATATATAATAAGCAACATATCGGGCAATCATTCTTCAATGGCCTTGTTAAGTGCTATGAAGCAAGAGACCATTGCCCGAAACGTCACCTATTATATATATATTTATTTTATGGCAGTGTTGTTGACAAATGCGTTGAGTTAAATTCTTTTAATACATATTTATCAAAAACAATAGATCAGGATAGCTTCGTGAGCCCAGCGGAGGTTCGACAAGGCCGGTATTGAACCCAATTAAACAATTAAACAATATCATGGCGGAATGTGGCACTTGCTGGAACACGTTGATTGAAGTCTGCATTGCGAATAATGTCTGGGAACGTCTGCAGGTGCTTGCCGAAAGTACACGTCGAGGCCTCTGCATTGCAAAACAAAGTCTGGAAAGCATTTGGAGGATACACTCAGATCCGGGCCTAACAACGCCACGGCTAATTCCATTTATATTAGTGTCACCATTGCGCGGGTCTAATTAGAAAAGAACAGCATCTGGTTCGTGACGGGGCAACGATGCCGGTCAAACTCGGCTCTCTCCCCGACGCTCGTTTTCTCACCCGATGCCAAAACGAAATCACAGCGCCGGGTTCAAGAAACCACGCACGCACGAACACCTTTGCAGGGCGAGTGCGTGTGAATTCCTGGCTTACGCGAGCCCCGTTTCTCTTCACAGACAGCCTAAGCCGTTTTCAGCCGGCAAGCGAAAAACAAGAATGGGAACGTGTCAGAGCGCCTATACGGGCGGGTGGAGAGGGGTGTGTGGGGGGGGGGAGGCATTGATGCTCAAAAGAGACGCGCGGCGTCGAGTGATATCGTCGGAGAGAGGAGAGGGAGAACCATCACACGTGTGGCACGCTCGGACGCGGGCTGCGGCTACTCGGTGGCCGGTGGCTCGCTGACCGCCCCCGGCTCTCGGGCCCGCACTAAGCGCTCAGGTGTAGGTCGCCACGGAGCAGAGGTCGCAAACGGGTTTTGATTCCTTACCCGTACCCGTACCCGGCCGCACCTGGGTCGCAAATGGGTACCCGTACCCGGCCGGGTACAGGTAGCCATATCATACCCCTACCCTACCCGAAATGAGTGACAAACGGTTACTCACCAGTGACTAACGACCTACCCGTACCCGGCCGCACCAGGGTCGCAAACGGCTACCCGTACCCGGCCGGGTACGGGTAGCCGGGTATCGGGTAGGGTACGGGTATCGGGTACCCGTTTGCGACCTCTGCCACGGAGTGCACACGAGCGCTCAGGTGTGTTCCATTTGCGCTGCTTGCTTCTTTTTCTAAATTACCAGCATGAAAGTGTGTTCGGCGTTGACTTTTGGCATTAAATGGTGGGGGGGTGTTGGGAGAGGTAAAAAAAAACGACTCCAGCACGACTTAGCGGGAGGGAGAGATCTGACAGGTCTGATGGGAGTAGTGAAGCGGTGATCTATGGGTGTTAATGCAAAAAGCATCTGCTCCAAACATTCGGCTGAGCCTGCTAACCATTACGATTGAGCCCTCCCCGCTCTCTCTCTTTCGCCCGACGAATGCTGAGCCGCTCGGCCTCGCTGCCGAGCGTCGTACGAGAAGCCCCGCGGAAGCGGCCCCCGCCGCTTCACGTGCGTTTCGTCATTCATTGACCCGCTCGCTCGCTCGCTCGCTCCGCCGCTTCCGATCCGCTCCGTCCACCTGATGCCACAGCCATCCGCACCCTCCAGCCGGGACTCGTCGTGAATTGCCACATGCGCAGCTCTGCCCGCCGCTGCCGCTGATGCTACTGCTGCTGCTGCTAGGAGAGTGGGCTGACGCCCGGGCCTCTGGCGGTCGGGACCATTCCCCCTGGCCGTTTATTAAAACAAAACCCACAAAAAACCTTCGGGTGGACGCTGCCTGCCCATGCGCCGCTGCGAGCGTCCGAGAGCGCTCGCAAAAAACGTTCGCCCTGCTGCCTGCAAACTCTCTCCTAGGCCTGCCAATGTGGCTCCAATCTGCTCGGGAGGTGCGCGTTTTTTTTGTAATCTTTCCGATTTTATTGATTTATGAATTACTGCCCTCCGCGTTTCACGAGACGCGCAGGGCTAATGTGAGGCACATGCGCAAGGCGGACCAATCAGAAATGATCCTCTTGAGTGCAGGGCTGCGATGGACAGTCGGGGTTGTCACCTGTTCAGGACTTCTTCTTCAGAATCAGAATATTTAGACTGGAGGATTCCGATGAGCAATGAAGCTCTTCTTGACAGATGATCCTTAAGGCGGTACCCCGGGGTAGCAAATAATACAGAATGGCCGAGGCAATTAAATTCTTTATTTCTGGAACACTTTTTTTTCCAGGGGTGTACTTAACTCCGCGACTGAGGGTATCAATCAATCCGAAATCAGTGGTGCTACTCCGCGATGTCGAAACGCAGCGATGACGATTGCGCCGAAACCCTGAACGCTCGCGGTACGCACCGTAGCGGTGCATCGTGTGCAGCTCGTCGAGATGAGTCGATTGCCGCATCGCCGACCATCAGCAGACTCAAAACGACTGCATCACGGACATTATGCGAGAGCCAGGGTTACTATGGTACCACGGGGTACCGCCATAAGGTGCAGATGTCCAGTAGGGGCGGGTCAGCAAGTTACAACAGCAACCGATACAAAAAAAAAACGATAGGAGTACAAAGTAGAGAAAAAGGCAAGCAGGTCACTAAATACAAATAAAGAGTAAAATGAAAAAATACTTAAGCTCCATTTAAACTCACGCTTGGGCAATGCGGCAGCAAGAATAAGAACAACCCAACAATCTCAGAGGGGAGTTGTCCTGGGAAATCTATAAAAATTCCAGCGGAATTAAATTTGCCGTTGGTTTTTTTTTATTGTCCATCGCGTAATAAAACATCACTCGGGGCAATCCATTTGCACGTATTTCACCCCTCTTCCAGTTACTGCGAGATCATCCTGTTCCCGTTCCTCCTCCCTCTTGCTTCTTCCTCCCACGACACGTGTGCCGCCTTGATTTCCACCTCCGAGGTGGCAACCCGAACGCACATTTGCCCTGCAAGCTCGCAGAGAGCACGCGGGGGCGAAACTCCCGTGCGAGAACGCAGCCACCGTTGCAAGGCGCGCGCCACGTGAATATTATATCTGCTACCTTATTGCCGTGGCATGCATATAGCCGGCGGTCTTTAAAAGCGAGGTAACTCGGCACCAGAAATGCCACACTTTCAATTTCCTACCGGCCCCCAGGCTCATTAGAAACATAAGCCTCTGGTAGAAGTGGCGGGGCGAAGGGCTAAAAAAAAAGTTGGAAAGCCAAGAATGTCAGGAAAAATGTATCTGCACGAAACGCATTCGTATCCCGTGTTAATAACGCAGTAGTGCCAGATATTTTGTTCTGCGCGCGCGCGTTAACGCTGTTGCACCGCTTCAAGGGTCAACGTTAAATGTTCGTACAATGTCTAATTTCTGTGTTACCAACAACAACAATACTCACTCGCTGTGCCATGCGCAAAGACGAAGGCGCGCGCGGGCGAACACTTTTGTTTTGCATTCTTTCTCTTGCAAGGGTGAACGGCGAAAAATGAATTTTAAAAAAATTGGTACCCAGAAGGTCTGGTTACAAACACGGGGTCATTATAGTGCACGGTGAACACGTGTTACCACGGTGAACACGTGCTGCCACGCTGACCACGTGATACAACGCAAAATAACAGCGCCCGGTAACGCAGCATTACGCGGAGAACACGATCCATTGCAGATTTGGCGAAATGAAGGTCGTTACTAAATACTCATGCATACGCACACACGTAATATGGAAAAGATTATTTAACTTTTAAGGCATGCTCAACGCTACTCAGAGCACTTGAGCCGCCTTATCTTGTAAATGTGCTGGAATCTGTGTGCCATTAGTTATTATATGATGCCATGTGCCGCCGTTGTGCATGTGTGCATGCTCGTGTGTGCGTATGGGGAGTGGTGGCGCTGCGCTACGATCCACGTCTCTCGAGTTCGAGTCCAGCTCACGGCCAGCAACCAGTGACGATTAGCTGAACCGGGCCTCCTCTAGGTAGACTCAGCATCAAATGAGTACCTGGTACGATTTGTAAACATCGCCACTCGGGGAGACAAAGGCGGGGCCGGCTGTGGTTGCTGGCGACTCACCCACAGCGTGTGTCGTGCCGGCCTTCATAGGTGCTCGTCGTCAAACAGCACTTGCCCCAAAAAGCCTGTTAAGGCTACACGGGGGATATTTGTCTTTGTGTGTGCGAGTGTGGTTTGCGCGGATGTAATCGCACTTTCTCCGCCGCGCCTGTCTGCGTGCGATCCTGGCACAGGTGCTCGCTCTGGTGGCGTCATCGCCGCTTCGTGATGAATTGCGATCCGTATCACCCACTACTTTGCGCAACGCGTCCGTGCGGTGGTTGCGGTGGTTGGCGCACCGAGCTCCGCGAAGCCGCTGAATCTGGCTCCAATTGCCAGCCACGGCCAACATGTGGCGAAGTTGCTATATCAATCTGCCCCTAGGCCTTAGGTTCGCTCGGCGTTCAATGAGTGCCTGGTGCGTTGTGTGCGCGTTGAACTGCTTTCGCACCGTACTTAGCCAGCCGTGATGATCGGAGGGTGTGTAAATACCAGAACTGGTGAGACAAAGACAGCTGAGCGTGGTGTTTCCCACACCAGCTCCTTCAACATTCCACTGCCTACCGATACCAGGATGTGCAGAACGCCTAGGTAGACTCGGCCGTGAATGAGTTAACTGTTGCCGCTGGGCCAAATCCAACACGTGGATTATTTTGTGTCTCTGTCTGTCTCTTTTAGCTTTTGTGAGTTCAGTTTCGCCGACTTCCCTGCGGGTTGTCGCTGCACGTGGCGAGCGAACGTCCGACTCGCTCTCGTGTCTCTCCCCCCCCACCACCAATCCTCCCTCTGACCAGCGGCCTCCACAAGCTGAGCGACGAGAGCCTGAGCAAGGAGCCCGAGGAGGTGTTCGATGTCCTGGAGAAACTGGGAGAGGGGTACGAACCATCGCCCCCTCCTCCTCCTCCTCCCGCACCGCCCCGTGTCCCTCCGGCACGCACGCGCACGCACGCACGCGCACGCTCGCGCACGCACGCGCACGCACGCGCCACGCCGCTGTTCACGCTCAAGGATGTCCGATATCACGACAGGAGCGGGCAGTGTGTGGATCTGCGACGCGTCACAGCTTCGCCTTTCCTGGGATGAAAAAAAAACTTCTTTTATTTGCCTGATGACGACCACTTGTGTTGCGATCGAAACGTCGTGATTTGTTTTATTTTATTTTTACCTACGTGACTTTACCGAAAGAACGAAAGAGTATGGATTCCTGCAATCACGAAAGCTTCAAATCAAGATTTGAAAAAACGTTAAATAATATAAATATATTTTTTAAATCGCCAAATATCGTGCCGCTCTCGGCGTGTGCGATACTGCTGCACAGCGACAGGCCGGTGAATAGCCGCAGAGTTCTACTGGTAGGAACCTCCTGGTTACACCAGCCCACAGGGGATTATTGTGTCCGTCCGTCCGTCGTGCATCCAAAAATGGGAGGGGTGGCGATGGGTGGAGAGGGGAGGGTGGGGAGGGGCTGGGTGGGGAGGGTGGGGCTGGGTGGGGGGTGGGAGGGGTGGGGCTGGGTGGGGAGGGGCTGGTCACCCCGTGGTGCCCTTATAAAACTCAACGTTTAACCTACTCACGCCGGCTTGTGCCCGCCCTCAGTCGGGCATATTTGCGGAATACACCACGTCGCCGTTGGCCCTGGCCATTGACCGAGCAACCCAACGTTCCTACCAGCTCCCTCCGCAGGAATGTGTTTAGACAGCACACCGACCCCGCGCGTGCCAATGTACGCGTGTGGGGACCGGTGGCGCAGTGGTTAGCGCACCGTGCTGTGCACTCGGCCACCCGAGTTCGATTCCCGCTCACGACCCGAGAACAGTCGCGAATATTTGAACCCGGCACCGGGCCTCGCCTAGGTCGACGCAGCCTCAAACGGGCGTCTAGTGGGGCATGTAGTAAACATCGCCACTCGGGAGACAAAGGCGGCCGGGCGTGGTACCGACCGCTCACCCCCTCGTGTTCCTTCATTAGCCATGAGGTGCTAGCGAACAGTTCTAGTCCCAACAGTCTGTTTAGGCTATAGGGAGTGGGGGAGGGATATTTGTCTTTTGTGCATGTGTGTGTGTATCGGGCCAGTCATCTCAGTCAGTTGACCCGTGGCACCTGCTGGGTCTGCCCCGTGACCTCCTGCTGCCAGCGGGCGTTAGACCACTTCACGTGGCCTCAACGTGCACCTAGCCTGGTACAGGCGACGTGGTGACGTCACTGTTACTTAGTGGCGAACGGCGGTTGTTGTTGTGTACACCAGAGAGCGAACGTGAACGATCGGCTGTCTTGCAGGTGCGTTCACTTCCCTGGGTTTACCACAACGCTCGTTGCGTTCTTTTCGAACTTGAGAATTAATTTCGCAAGGTATTGTTACGCCCGGGTTCGTGCTTCACGACGCCTCTGAACCATTTGTGGCACATCGTTGCCACATTGCAGCTTCGGAGACGGCTGGAAGGAAACCCTCTCTCGCGCGCTCTCCACGCGCCCATGTGTCGGCAACTTACAAACTCTCTCACGTGAAGGCTCTCATCAATCGCCGGCATTCACGGCGGACGCCGCGTTTTTAAATCCTTTATATTAAGTTCGCTTGCTTGCGTGCTTGCTTGCTTGCTTGCGTGCTTGCTTGCTTGCTTAGGACCGTGCAAATCTTTCGCTCGTTTTTTAACCCACTTCTCGTGATCCAATCGAGCTGACATTTTCCACACAGACTCGTTGTGTGTGACAATTAATTTTCGTGAAAAGTTTTTTTCCAAAATTTTACACTGTTTAGGGAAAACAAATTAAATATTTAATTACCAATTGCTTAATACTGGCAGACAATCATCTGACCCATAGGTGGCAGCCATCTCAAGCCAGAGGACGAGAAGGCTCTAGCCGCCACGCATATAAAGGATTTATAGTGAAAAACTTTGTTTTTACGGGTTTACTTGTTTACGAACTGAAGGCGGGAACGTGAAACTAACGAACGTTCGCGTGCTGGGTTAGCATGGTTGGCCACGTATAGTGCGAAAGAAATTCAACATACACACGTGCTTCGCCTGGTATGCAGGAGATTGTGGGTTTGATCCCGACCCTGACGCCTGTGTAATTCGGAGTTTGCGTGTGTCTCTCTCCCCGTGGTCGCGTGGATTTTTCTTCGGGTCCTCCGGTTTTCCCCTCCACATTTAGACACACGCGTTTCTAAACATGCGTTTCTAGATGTGGAGTATTTGGCTGCGATACATTTCCACGCGACAAGCCACTCCGTCGAGCTATCATTTGTCAGATCGCTTCTGAAATCCAGATCGCTTCTGAAAAACAGCTATGTAGTAGCTCAGTGGGAGCCTTAGCTGGTAAAATAAAGAAAAAATAGTTTAATAGTTTTAGTTCAATACATCGATGCCACGCCGTGCGTACATTTGTACCCGGAGCGAGGCAGCGCACCGGCACGGCCGCATCAGTCTTGCAGATGAAGATACCATGAACATTTCACCTCCGTCCTGGGGAATAGACATTAAAAAAACATTTCTATATTTTACAAAAACCTCGCAGCGATGAGCATAACAGTGCGCGTCCACGAGAGCTTGTTCGGCTCCGACGAAGACGAACAAGTAAAGTCTTCCGCTACCTGCGCCTTCATGCACGCGCGAAGGCGACAGCGGCCTTCGACGAGGCCACGTGGAGCCAGCGCCGTCACCGCCGGAGAACCTCTTGACGGAGCAAGCTCCACTCTCTCACTCTCTCTGTGTTTGTGTGCGTCTCTGCCTCGCGATGCCGCCGCGTCGTCCAGGTCGTATGGGAGCGTCTACAAGGCCATCCACAAGGAGTCGGGGCAGGTGATGGCCATCAAGCAGGTGCCTGTCGAGTCCGAACTGCAGGAGATCATCAAGGAGATCTCCATCATGCAGCAGTGTGACAGGTGACTCTTGCGTGTTGGTGCACGTGCGTGCGTGCGTGTGCTTGCGTGGGGAGCGGTGGTGTAGCGGTTAACGCGCTGTGCGCTATGAACCTGGCGACCCGGGTTCGATTCCCGCTCACGGCTAACACCAGTGACGATTATCTGAACCGGTCTTGGGCCTCCCCTAGGTCGACTCAGCCTTAAATTAGTACCTGGTGCGGTGTGTAAACATCGCCACTGGGGAGACAAAGGCGGTCGGGCGTGGTGCTGGCCATCCACCCCCTCGTTCGTGTACCGTTCCGGCCTTCATAGGTGCTTGCTAACAGCACTTGCCCCTACAGTCTGTTAAGGCTATACGGGAGATCTTTATCTTTGTGCTTGCGTGTGTACGTGTTATGCGTATGTGTGTAGGGAACTGGCCTTCCCCTAGGTCGACTAAGCCTCAAATGAGTACCTGGTGCGGTGTGTAGTAAACATCTCAGCCACTGGGGAGACAAAGGCGGCAGGCCGTGGTGCTGAGCGCCCAGCCCCCTCGTGTGCCGTGCCGGCCTTCATAGGTGCTACTCGCTAACAGCACTTGCTCCCAGCAGTCTGTTAAGGCTACACGGGGGATCTTTATCCTTGAGGCAATGCCCATGTTGTGCAGGGTTTGTCTATTTACCCAGCAGCTACGATTCGGTATCTAGTCAAGTGCCAATTTAAAAAATAAGTCCATCAGAAAACATTTTGAAGCCTTTCCTGTTCCCAGACGACTTGCAGGGTGGGCCTAGTTCACTGCAGAATGTCGGAACGTGCAAGAGGTTAGCGTTCCGTTTTATCTCGAGAGGCATAGCACCGTTCTTTTTAAAGATGTTGTCCTCACCGCAGAGAACTGTAGCGACACGACCGCACCCTATGCCACACGCGCTCCCCGCATGACCTTCTTCTGATCCCGTTGCGATAATGTACGTGTACAGAACCGATGACGCACACTTACGTCATCGGAATGCGAATGGGTTAAAAAGTAACGCTCATCAGGCCCCATGGTGTAAAGTTTCCAACTCCTACTATCCACTCTGTCTCTCTTGCCTCTCTGCTTTCGTGCTACAAAGAAGAGCCATTCCCGAAACGTCTCCAATTATGTGATGTTTGTTTTATGTTTTTATTTTTAGGCTGCGGTGTTATCGACCAACGTGTTGAGTTCTTGTTTGTTGTGATGCGCGATGTGCAGGAAGCGGTGACTCAATGCGACACGGCGCATGCGTGCGTCTCACAGCCCTTTCCCCTCCCCATGTCAACCTCCTTGTCCCCCGCACGTATTTCCCACCTGGGTGGGGCAGTGAGCCCAAGTTTCCCCCTTCATAGGGCCCTGTCGTGCCAAAATTGGGTCGCTGTTCACGGAATTTCTGTCCCTTCCCTACCCCCACCTCCGTCCTGCAATCGGCGTTTTGTACCGGGCTCACATTGAGTTGTAATGAAAAAGATATTTTTTTGCGGGGTAGATTGTGTGCATCGGAGGGCAGTGCCACGAAATCCATCGTCGTACCGTACTTCTATGTCACCTATCCTCCCTCGCAATCACCAACCCCGTCCCGCGCTTTGTGGGGATGCACTCATCCAGCAGCGGTTTGACACAAGGGCTGTGTACGTACGTGGTGGTGGGTCAAAGTGGTCACAGCGCGACTCGCAATTGCTCGGTGTTCCCTTCACGTTTTTGTTCGAGGAATAGGTGCCGTGAATTTAATTCAAACTTTTTTTTTTCTCCCGACAAATTTGTAGCTCAGATCTTTTTTTGTTTAAGTTATACCGCATGCCAAAAAAACACGTGTACGCACAAAAACATTATTTAAATGTGGATGTTCTTCAAATGGTGTTGAATAAATGCATTCAGAATGGTGGAGTGAGAAAGTGTCACGTCAACATAAGCTTCGCTCGACGGATTTCGTCCAGCTTATTTAGCGAATGCTTCCACGCGTGCCTTACACATTTCGTCCAGTGAAGGCACAGGTTACAGCCTTGCTGGGCGCTACTGTAAATGTGTGCAGAAATAGCTACAAAAGAGCATCGATTATGTTTCGGAAAATGAGACAAAATGATACATCACGTAGCTGATTTTAATCGATAGAGTGATGTCTCCTATTTTTGAACGGTAACTCCCGATAAATCAGAACGTCTCGAATTCAAACCCCCCTGCGGGCGTTGAAAAACAACTACCGCTTCGTGGGGATATCAACAGTGGTCGTGCGATGTCGAGAATTCCCCCCCTACCCCTCCCGCCCCCACCATAAGAACGTGGAATTTCCGCCGCTGACTCGGGTTCGTGAGCAGAACTCGTCTGAGTGGGAAATCACTTTGAGCGAGCTCATTTAAGTGTCGCCGTTTGTGATGAGAATGGGTGGCATCACGTGACCCAGCATCAAGCGTGTTATCGTAAATTGCTCGTGGACACGTCAGAGGCCTGTCGTGGTTCCACTGCTGGATGAGGACAGCCACTGCGCGGTTGGGGGTTGCCACACGAGGCACCGGTAGCGTGACGAGCATGGCTCACACCACCCTGGTGGCCAAGTTCGAGTTGGGGCCCCATTGACAACCGCCACGAGATTTGTTTTCAACAACGGTGTTAAACAGAAGACTGAGCGCCCCTACAGCGTTAAATGTTCGAGACCGTGAGTGTAACGATGAAGCGATTAGGCAAGAGGAGCCGCGATATAGAATAGCCTGGATGCGACCGTGCGAGACAAATCAAATATTGGGGCCTCATCTGACCGATTGACACACTCCGTGAGCTGATAATTTAGCCGCTACGCAACGGCTTTGCCTGCCGCCTAGCTCGTGCGGCCATGTGGCTCCGTGCTAGGCAAAGGGGTGCGAACCGGTAAAGGGCAGATGTGAGGCTACCACCAACTCCAGTGGGTTGCTTTGTTTGCTTAACTCCAGTGGAGGTACGAGGCATAAGCTAAGTAAGCACATGTTTACGGCCCAAAGTCGCTCAAGAGCTTCCCTAGATTCATGCATGAAAATTAGGGGTTCTCCAAAAATCAGATTGAATTTGGATCATAATGAACATGGAAAGTTCACAATTCTGATGACACTTTTAAATGTAAATTTTATTGAGTTTCGTTCATCACGATTGACAAATACAGGCCAAAAAACATCAAATATTAGGGCCCAACTTGACCGATTGACGCACCCCCCGAGCTGATGACGTCGTTTCTACGCCACGGCGAGGTAACCGTTCAGCGCGTGTCCTACGTTGCAGCCCCTACGTGGTGAAGTACTACGGGAGCTACTTCAAGGACACGGACCTGTGGATCGTGATGGAGTTCTGCGGGGCCGGCTCCGTCTCCGACATCATCCGCCTGCGGAACAAGACGGCAAGTCGGGCCTCTTTGCAATCCCCGGCAGTTGTCGCCGACGGCCGCGCGACAATCAGTTTCGCCGTAGCGGCAAAGTCACCGGCGGCTTGGGGCCACGGTGACGGCGCCGTCATCTTGGTCGGTTACAATAACGGTGAGGTTACAATGACGGTCGAGTTACAATGACAGGCAGGTTACAATGACGGTGGGAGCCGCCGTGGTGGAATGGCTGGCGCGCTGAACTTGCAATCGAGAGGTCACGGGTTCAAGTTCTTCTCCCCGCCTCCCCCACCATCACCCCGCCTCTGTCCACCCAGCAGCGTCAATGGGCACCACCACATTCTAGATTTGAAGCTTGCGTGACTGCAAGGATTCATATTCTTAGGTTTTTTCGGTAAAGTCACGTAGGTAAAACTCACTTGATACAGCTATCGTGCTGTGACGGTTCCACCTGAAGACGGAAGCTTGTGTTGCCTCCGAAACGTCGTGATTTTTATTTTATTTTTTATTATACTTTTATTAATTTGAAATTTTTACCTACGTGAATTTACCGAAAAAAACCTAAGAATATGGCACCACCACAGTTGATCAGCGGACCACGTGGCCCTTTGGTGGCAATTGATCACGTCCAGAGCCTTCAGTTGCAATTTATCATGTCTACGAGCAGCCGGAGGGGGTAAGGGGGGGGGGGTTAAACCGCACGGTTTTTTTGGAAGTCGACAAGGAGAGGTTTAAATACGTCGGCGGGCGATGCGCCTCGCCAACAATGCACTCACTGATTGGCTTTAACCAAGCAGAATGCGTCCAATTTGACTGAAATGTAATGCAATTATTCATCTGCGTGGCTATGTACACACACACAAATTTTACACAGATGTTAAACAAGACGTCTCGGCAGCATGGAAGAGGAGGCCAAAGACCCTCTTAAGGGACTCTCCATAGAGGGTTTGTCTCGTCGTGCCCCTTTCACCAGCAGGGGGTAGTGAGCAGCAATTGCGGGGCTGTACCTTTAGCTTTTAAATCCGAAACGCATAACGTGCGCTCATGTTGTGCATGAATACAGACCCCACTTACAGCCACACGATTTATTGGGCCAAGTGATGTTGGTGAGCACCTTTTGAGGCCATGGACGTACAATGGAATTGTGTGGTCAGCACTACACCTGACCACCTTTGTCTTCCCAGTGCCGAAATTGAAACACTGCACCAGGTACTCATTTAAAGCTAAGTGGAGATCCAGGATCGGTTGAAATAATCAGCACTAATGTTAGCCATGGCCACGAATCGAACTCACACCACCGCCTTACAGAACGCCGTGCACTAACCACGACGCTACCGCTCTCCACATGACAACAACCGCCATTCGCCACTAAGTGGCGGTGACCTCAGCGGGGGCGCTTGTGCCAGGCTACGTGCACATAAATACCTACGCACGCACGTACACACCCTGACATGTACACGCCGTTAAATACGGACCATCTTACAGCTCGTAAAAGCATTCGCTAAACTGGGTTAAATCGCGTAAATATAAATGCGTCGTTATTTACGCGATCTAATAATATTGGTCGCGAAAACCTACACGCTGAACTGACCTTACAGCTCTATTGGGACATCTACAGGCAGTTCCTCGATGCTACTCGCAAGGGCCAAGGACGTTTGTGTTGCGTTGGTGACACACCTAAAAATGTGACAATTATCCACAATTTTGGCTACTAAATCGCACCGTTTCTCGAGTGCGTGCTGGCGCGCAGGGCACTCGCTGATTTGGGCGCGTGTTATCGCGGTGTCACGTGCGGATGAGCGTCGCGTCTGCCGAGTGGTGGCGCGTGGCTTTGTAGAGTCTATACAAGGACATGCGCAGGCCGTTTCCAAAATAGGGAAAAAAGGGGCACGTGAAACTGTAGTTAGCAATCGAGCGTGCGCGCGCGTGTGTAATTGGGTTGGAAAGTATTATTTATATCGAACAATAATGCATTATTTGGCCAGGTGGATTAAAGCCAGTGCATGTTGCGTCTTTTTTTGGAGACCATGAAAATACCGCGTTTTGATAGAGCTTTAAAAAAAAAAACCTGTCAAATACAGTCCTGTGTGATTAAAAGTAACATAGTGTTCCTTACAAATGTAGTATTACTTTTTTTGGAAGTTGAAACCTCCTTGACTCGTGCTGAAAGGAATTTTTTTTTTGCGCGCGCGTTGTACGGCTGGTAGATTTCGCTGCATTCTCGAATGTCAAAATGTTTGAGGATGCGTATCCCGTGAAGGCGAAGGTATCGCGACCGCGATTGCCAATATATTCCGATTGCCCAGGTTTCACGATCGGCAAGCTATCGCGGCTTTGATTGCCAAGGTAACGCGACTGCAATTACTAAGGTATCGTGACTGCGATTACCAAGGTCTTGCGACTTCGATTGCCAAGATATCATCGCGACTGCGATCGCCAAGGGCAGAGCTCAGGGCAGAAACATTTGCTCCAGTGTATGATTCGGTTTACTTTGGCAGATGTTTCATTTTTTGACATCGGTTTCCAGTTCAAAACAAGAAAAAAAAAGAAATGCCACTTGCACACGATGGCACGTTGTTTCACTCTGACGCAGTAACTACAGCGAGCGTTTAGAACAAGACGCGCACGCCCCGCCACTCACACCAGCTAAGCGATGAATATGCGGAAGCATGTGTTTTCGTCGTTTCGCGTTAAAACATTTTTTTGATTTTTTTCTTCCAGTAAAAATGGGAAAAAAGAAACGTAATTGAAAGCCATAAACAGTGCGGAGCGTTTTGTCAAAATATCAGACTTTTCAAGGAGGCCCGTCTTTAAAAAGACACCGTCAACAAACATTCCTGCGAAGGGAGCTGGTAGGAACGTTGGGTTGCTCTGTCAATGGCCAGGGTCAACGGCGGAGTGGTGTATTCCGCAAATATGGCCGACTGTGAGGGCGGGCACAAGCCGGCGTGAGTAGGTTAAACGTTGAGTTTTATAAGGGCATCACGGGGTGACCAGCCCCTCCCCACCCAGCCCCACCCCTCCCACCCCCCCAGCCCCACCCTCCCCACCCAGCCCCTCCCCACCCTCCGCACCCTCCCCACCCAGCCCCACCCTCCCCTCCCCTCTCCACCCAGCCCCACCCCTCCTATTTTTGGATCCACGACGGACGGACGGACACAATAATCCCCTGTGGGCTGGTGTAACCAGGAGGCTCCTACCAGTAGAACTCACGGTCCCCTGCTTGGTCATCTCTGTCGCTGCTCAAGAGGAATACTGCCAAAATAAACGTTCTCAATTATAGGGCAAGTGTTGAACAAAAATAAGAATAGGTTTTTGCCCTTTCTGGCAATAAAACGGTTGTTAAGATGTTCAAACACCAAAAATAAACATTTTGAGCGGTGTTTGTTAATAACGCACTGGCCTCAAAGGACACCGAGCCCGGCGCCGTGGTGACATCACTGTCGGTTAGTGCCGAGCGGCGATAGCTCCTGTTGTAGTTGTTGGTGGTGGTTGTTGGTGGTTGTAGTTGTTGGTGGTGGTAGTTGTTGGTGGTGGTAGTTGTTGGTGGTTGTAGTTGTTGGTGGTGGTGGTTGTTGGTGGTGGTCGTCGTGGCGAAATGTTTTCAGCCCCTTCTGCCAACCACGAGTTGTTTAACTTCGCGCGCACGAACGCGTCGCGGTACATTACGCGCGCACCTAGCCAGGAACGCGCAGTTGTGTTTCCCTTCCCCCCGCACCTCCGTTAAGCACGGTCGGCTTGGTACGGCGCGAAAGAAGTTCAACGTGCACACGCACATGCATCACAGAGACAACCTCGCTCAGCCGGAGACTACTTCGCCCAACCTCCCGCGAAGCAAACACGTCCGCCTGGCTTCTGGTCCAAGCCCGGTAATCACCGACGTCTTCGTAGCCGTCTTCGATGCGGCCGTGTGCCGGGCTCCATCGGACCATCTACAGAACATTTTTGTCAAAGGAGAGAATGCCCCCCCCCCCCACAACTACCACCCACCCCCCTTCCACGCCGCTCGCCAAAACCGCGGAAATAAAAAATGGGGCCCTGGCACGAGCTCGCCACGTGCTCTGCCTCTTGGCCGCGGCTGGTATGAGCTGGCGGCATGACAAGGCTGAACGATCGCGGCCGAATCCGTTTTCACAAACCTGTTACGGCCAGAAGTACGTCCCCGCCGCCACGCGGCAGACGGGCGGTGCTTCTTGGACACGGTCCCGAGATGACGAGGACCGCCGCCGCGCGTGCGAGAGGCGCGCTTTTCCCGAAGCGGCTCTCCGCCGCGTGCCCAGACGACGCGGGGGGCCCTCTTGTAGAGAATGGCGCAGGTTGAAGGTGGGGGCGGCAGGCGGGGGGGGGGGGGGCGAACGGGGTAGCCATGCGGTGGCCCTCTGGGCTCAGCCGCAACGTTTCCAACATCAAATAGAAGTTTGCGGTGGCTTGGGGCCATTCAAAATGAGGTCTCCGAGCACGTGTAGGGGACGTGGCATGCTGCGCGTGGTGCAATTTGTCCGCCCTTAATGCGCGATTCATTATTGCCGGTTCAGCGGCGGAGCTGCCGAGTGTGCAGTCGGTGCAACTGCACCGGAGACCCATGGGATTGGAGGGGAAATTGGACACGGGGTGGAGGGCCCTATTTTATTCCTCGCACCAGGGCCCATGCCACTGTGTCGGGTTATTTTATGTGCACAGGTGTCATGGGACTTTTTGGACCAAGCTTCCATTTAACGAGATGCTTTGATATTTTTTTTTCTGCGATACCGACGATGGTCGGGCACCACGAGGACGTCGGGGTCTGGTGGGTGCGATCACGTTCAGCCTCTCGCTCATGATCGCTGTCGTCAGCATCCCCTCCTCCTCCTCCCGTAGCCCTCGGGAGAATGGGAGTTTACTTCATTCGCTCCGCGAGGTTCCTCTTGGCCACGCTGGGGCTGCCGTGGCAACTTCTGCGTCCACTTGCCATGGCTCACTCCGCACCAGCAGGCACAGGGCGCGTGCGGGAGCCAGATACTTGTTCGACTTGTGCGGAA